TATATATATATTAAAAGTTGATGTTTCTTTACATGTTTTGTAGCATTGCTTTTGGGTTTGCAAGGGAGGTCCCCAGCCAGAATGCTCTTTGCAGGGGGCACATGGAATGGAAAAGTTTGGGAACCCCTGCGATAGAATAAACATCCAACACCCTATGTGTCAGCCTGCTCAGTTATGTAACCAGCTCTGGTGCATGTATCCTGTAGTGATGTAAGATCAAAGAATGTCAGCAAATTTTGTCATGTTTTGTGTTTTGGTCAGTGTTTTATTGTGTTTGTGGTACTTTTACTTTTCATAGTTTACTAATCCCTTTCTTTTAGTTTATTATTTCCCTGTTGTTCACCATATAAGGTGTTTGTTTTTGCTCCTCTTACTCATTTTGTGTTGCTTTATAGTTATTTTTGTTTTATTTACATAGGATTTCCTGCTCTTTAGCACCTCACGTTTTCACTTAAAAAAAAAACTTCATGTTATCCGTTCCTTTAGCTACAAACCCTGCTAGGGGAGAGCTACAGGGGGACGGCGTCCCTCGTGTTAACGAGGTGGCAGCTCATTAAGCCGTGTGTGTCTGTGGCTAACAGCTCGGTTTGCTGTGACGGACTTCAAAAGCAAACGGGGCAACAAGAGGCAGACGCGTACGGAGGGCTGTCAGCGTGGCGGCTAGCTGGAAGCCGAGTGATGGTAAAAACTGAAGACAAGTTCAGTGCAGCGTAGAGGGAGTGCTGGACTTAACTTTGGAGAATTGTCACAAGGAGTCAGGCTAAATCTCGAGACACAGAAATGTGGTGTTCTGGATGAAGCGTCAAAATTCTCTGCTGAGATTAGCAGGGATGTCAAAGCATGAAACGGTGCAAATAAATCACACTATATCATTTATTTCACTTGTTTATTATTGCATCAACAGTGTAAAGAACTGCAACATGATAATATGGATATTTAGCTGCTAGAGACGGAAGAGATATGAAAAGATGCAAAAAGTAAAATTTATCACAAAGGTTCTGCTATAGCTCAACCTCCAGTCGAGAAGCTTCATATTTATACAAACAATAAAGCTTTGAAAAAGAATTGGATCGTTTCATTCTGACTTTAAAGTAGTTTTTTTGTATTTATTTTTTTAGAACAGCTTGCAAAATTCTTGAAGCCACATTAACCTCTAATCAGATGTTAGCACAACACATACCTAATTATTGCTTATTAGTTTAGCAGAAAATACATTTTTAAGTACATTTAAGCTAATAATTTTAGTGTCAGTTTGAATGGGTCAACCTGAAGAAGTCATTCTAAACTTTATTTTTAATAAATGTTGACCTCATATAGCCGCTGACTCAGCTTAGTGGTGCTTCAATAATTAATCTCTTTCTAAATGTCATGATTTATAATTCAGGTCATTTGGGCTCCTGTGAGATGTTCGGTGTACGTCACACCTCCATGAACACTGCACACATTTACTTTTGGAGCCTCTTTAACATAGTGACTTTCACCAATGATCCATGTTGTTCTTTGTTTTCTGTTTTTGACTCACAGCAACATGGAGGTATAGAAGTCAGAAACTGGTAAGTGACTGTGTTTCCTTTTGTTTGTTGTTTTTTGTCATCTACACACTCAACACCAATAAGCACATGCTCTATATCAGTACTTTTTTTGTTTATTTTAAAAAAAGTATGCTGGCTTTTTTGTGACAAGCTGAGATGCTGGTAAATTCTCCAATGAGGAATAAAAATCTGGTTTCTAGACATTTGTGACTGTTTAAAACAGCAGTTTCTCTCATGTTTTAGAGAGTTAGAGAAGAATCAATTCTAGGTAGAGCATTCTTCTATTTTCTTTTTTGTTTTAAAGAAACTTAAAAATGATTGATTCCAATTCTGGGGTACTGGAACCTCAAAACAAGAAGAATAGCAGAATAAGCTGTTTGTCATGAGCTCAACACACATACTTAACCCTGCTGCTCAACCTACATAGGCAATTTTTAACAAATGTGGCACCATTTAAAGCAGGGGTGTTAAACTCATTCACACTGATGACCACTTGAGCATTATGGTCGCCCTCAAAGGGCCAGTTGTAGTTATTGTCAACATTTTGTGTTTAACTTCAACTACAAACGTGAAACATCACGTACGTCATGTCATTGCTACAGCTGAGCACTGCTAACGCACAAAAATTGAACTCTGTGGAATTCTGTGTATAGAAACAACATTAAATTGGAGCCTAGTGCACGTCCACTTCGTCGTGGGATGCTGTCATTTCGCGGTTAAAGTAATCGACAGGCATTGTGGGAGAGGTAGTTATGGCTTTAAAGCAGGATACGCTTTTTCGAAGACATTCATACATCTTTGAAGCTCTTGTGGGCCACATAAAATGCTGTGGCGGGCTATATTTGGTCCACAGGCCTTGAGTTTGACATGTGTGATTTAAAGGATATAAACATGATTTCCAACAATATAAGATTTAATTTCAAGAAATAGTATTACTACAAATAAATAATCCACCAAACACAAATTATTTAGCTTTTTCCACCAAATTCATGTCCAATTGTGTCTTTTAGCCTAATATCCAAAACACAGTTATACAACATTCACTGTGAATATGCTTAGCTTTATATTGCCTGTTTAAATGCATAACGGTCATGCCAATTATTTTTCATAACAAATGAAAAATATGATTTAAAACTTCCCTTCATAGGTGTTTTACTGGGGTCCTGATGACCCATCACATTAAACTTTGTACATTTTGCCCCTCTCTTACCTACACTAATTTCAATCATTTCAGTCTGTGCCCTCTTGTGCTCTGACTCCATTTAAACGTCTAATTTTTATTATAGATCTTTTTACCCTTTGCATGTCTTGTACTCCCATTGTCTGAATGAAAATTTATTCTCTCTGAACTCTGTGGAATTTTTTTCCTTCTCTCTTTGTTTCCTCTACATGCCTGCCAGACTGGCTGGGGTCCCACTCTGAATCGTCTCCGGCATTGGAGCTCTGAGTCACCAGGAGGTTTCTGCAGCGAGTCTCAGTCCTGTCTGCAATGATGACACTGTATCACACAAACGGGCAATAACTACCCATTGTACAGCCCCGCAGAAATTAAACAAAAAGCATACTCTGGTCCCCAAAAGGAAACACAAAACAACAATCTTTACTTGCTGAGACTGGATATTGTTTCATGCATAAACTGTATCAGAAAGGATGACTATTGAGCTAAATTTAGGCCATAAAGTTTGCAAAAGCAAAAAAAAAAAAGTTTATAACTACTTGTATCATATAATGAATGATGTATGACATGCTGTTGTGTCATATAATTAAAAAATGTGACATGTCATAGTATGCAATTATAAATTATGGCATGCTATTGTGTCATATAACTTAAAAACTGGCAGGTCTTTTAGGTCATATAATTTACAATTTATGGCAAGCCTTAGTCATATAATCAAAAATTACAAACGCTTTTTTTCAGTTTCAAAAATATTCTTTCAGTTTCAAAAATTTAAACTTTTGGACAAACTTTATAGACCTAATTTAGCTCCATAGATTATTTTTATATTGTGTAGGGCAGCTAAAATAAGTACTGAACCATGGACAGCTCCTGTAGTGCTGCATTAAAGTAGAACTTTCAGAACTATGGACAGCTCCTGTAGTGCTGCATAAACATAGAACTTTCAGAACCACGGACAGCTCCTGTAGCACTACATAAATGTAGAACTTTCAGGACCATGGACAGCTCCTTTGGTGCTGTAGAACTTTCAGGACCATGGACAGCTCCTTTGGTGCTGCAGAACTTTCAGAACCATGGACAGCTCCTATAGTGCTGCATTGGCTGTGTTAGAATTTATGGGCTGTGTCCTCATGAGTGCACATTTGTCGGCCGCATACGTCACTGCCCCACATGAAGTACTGTCCCAGTTCGAAGGCTCCTCATCTAAGGAATGCGGCTGACAAACTCTCGAAATCTGAGGATACATCCGTGTATCCTCACCGGCTGAGGATATCCCAGGATTCAATGTGCAGATAGCAAAATAAACAGAGAAACAAAGACGGTGGATTTTTTGATTTTTTTTTTAACAAGTCGGCGCAGTTTGGAAATTCACCACGGACTGAATAATTTGTTTTTAAAAGTAAGTTTAGCAACTTAGCTGATGAAATTTATGCTGCAATAAGATGTTAAATAAAAATGCAATTACAAGTGCTGATAAGACAAAGTATTAGGGTCACACAACAAGATTATTTTAAACTTTTTTAAATTACGGGAATAAAGTCATAATATTACGACATTAAAGTCATATAAAAATAAAGTCATAATATTACGAGAATGAAGTTGTAACATTACAAGATTAAAGTCATTTTACAAGAAAAAAGTCATAATTTTCTACTCTTTACATGAAAGAGCATGCACTTATCACTGCATTAAATGAGGAATGTTGAGCAACTTGTCAAATTGTTTTTTAGTATTGCTTAAAAATAGATAATCTTTTAGCACATTAGCATCAAATTATCAGTAGCAGGACTCAGAAATTGTGCAAATGACTATATGATAAACTGAAGCCGTATTGTAATTAATGGATGCATTGACAGATTTAATCATCACATAGCTAATTTGGATGAAAGCATATTTCACTAACAGTGACCCAAGTCATCATGGACTACTTTATAAACACAGACACATGGCTGTACGCAGCAGGTGTGGGAAAAATAAGGAGGAAATGAAGAGTAGAAAATGGACAAGTCATGTAAGATTGACTTTTTTTCTCGTAATATTATCACTTTATTCTCCTAAAAGTACAACTATAATCTCATAATATTACGACTTTATTCTCATAATACTATGACTTTATTGTTGTAATAATAATAAAAAATCTTGTTGTGTGGCCCTAATACTCAGTCGTAGATACTGGAGCTTAACCCGAATTATTAAAAGTTTTTTTTAAATTTATTTACGTGTAATGTTTTAACTACAAAGTTATTCTTCCAGTAAAAATATGTCTAAATACATGTCCCAACTCATTTTAAGTTTTATATGAAACTGATCATTATGGTAATGGTGTAATGCGTGGTCACGCAAACTCACATAAAGCCGACGTCAGGCGAAGGGTAGACCGTCTCAATTCACWGCAGTTTTGAGCAGCCTACCCAGCCCAGGGAGGATGTGACCCACGTGGTCCATGAATTGAGACACAGCCATTGTGTCGGCCTATGCAGGGTGGTCGAAGCCACACCCACACCAAACTAAACTAACAAAACCCCCCAAAAAGAACCAAGTATAAAATGGCTAAATACATAAATAAATAAATAAATAAATAAATAAATAAATAAATAAATAAATAAAACATTCTCACGAAAAGAAGACAACCGGTCCCACCAGGCCAAATCTACAAAAAGTAAGAATCAACAAAACTCAAAAAACATGCAGGCTGAGGCAGTGGGCTGGACAGTAATAACATACAGTAAGAAGGTTTGCAGTCATTGCAAAGGTTTGAAATGTTTCTTAATATATGCAGTTTAGTGGTTTTGACCCCAGATTTTTGATGCTTGTTTCTGATGTTTATTGCTTTAATGCAGTCATTATAGAGGGTTGTTATGCTATTTGGAAATTGTTGTGTTCAGCAAAAAATGTAAGGGCCATATTTATAACAAATTTATTTCAGCTTTTAATCCAAGGCAATAACTACAATTTTGCAGTAAAACTCTACTAGACTGAATACTTTAAGGGACCAAAATGCTGGTTTTAGTAGCATAATTAAATTCAAGGCTTCCACCTCTGATTTGACATTTTTAGCAATGCGACGTTATTGTACTTACAAAACCAAAGAGGTGGCAAATGCTTTTGCAGAAATGTCAAAATAAAACCCAGCGGGTTTTGAATGGCTTTTTAAACTGATGTCAAGTTTCTAAAATCTCCTGCTTTTTTTCCCATTTACCCACATTTTCAAGCTGCTGTGCAGCTCTGAAATTTGCAGCCTCCATCTTCTAGCTGATATAACCTAAAGCTGCAAATCCCAATAAAAACCAAACTTCATAGGTGTCCCCTTTAAGACAAACGATTCCTGATCTGCATGGCTTTAAAAAAAAAAAAAACTCAACTCCTGTAAAATATGTAAAAAAATCTACTTTTACTCTCTTATCTTGCTTGTCTAATAAAATGTCCACTTTATAAAGTTGTTTTTTAATATATAAAAAATGTTTTTAATGTTAAATAGAGCAGCAGGCCTGTCTGGCAGAAACAGGTTGATATTACTGTTACAATCACTTCCTGTCTTACTGAACTATTTAATGACCCAATTTATTATCAGCTCATTTATTCAGCCGTCACTGTACAGAGAGATGGTGTCACTGTTAAAGAAAACTGATGACTTCAGGGTTTGACAGCAGTATTTTGAAGTCAGATTTGTTTGAATAAATTGTTGTATTTTTTTTCCATTTAGAAAATTGTATGTTTCCACTGGGTTCTGCACAAGTGTTTATATTTTATTTTAAGGTATTCATCATTGTCCTTGGGTTGTAAACTTGTATGTTTTGAATTAAGAGGCTGATGTGTACAGATTAAAATTTGTGTTCTTTATTTTTTCAGAACAGCTGTTACTTATCCACATTGCGTCATGAGATTATAAAAATAATCTTCTGTACTCGAGCCCTGAATCACTCGCTAAACTGATCGACAAATTTCCCGCCGTCCTTTTTTTTACCTGCAGCCTGTGCTGCAGTATGACAACCGAAACGTTGTCTCGTCTTTCCTCGTGGGTGGAAAAGGATTTGTCTTATTATAGACTTAGACTGTGCTGTTTATTTTTATCCATTTCTCAGATGACGTTCATTATCAAAAGGGTATTATGCTGTGCCCGAGTCTGACTGGAGAGGTCTTCCTCTCTGTATCCTTGGCGTTCAGACTGAGAACTATTGTGACGGAGACGGAGCTCTGTGTTGTTGTCATGACACCCGCTGCAGAATAATTGGATAGCTTATCGGTTTACGCCATGAAGCTTAATTGTTTTGTTCTGACTGGCTGAGATACTAGAGTGACTATTTTTTAGAAAGAAATGTGAGCATCATGGAAATTGAAATGTGGCTGACAGCATGTCAATGAATGATTGATGGACTGTGACGTTCAAGGGAAGCGGTCAAAATGTAACATTTTCATTTTGCTTTTGACTCACACTCCTCTCCTTTTTAACTCGATTTGTTGTGTGAATGCTTTAGAATGAAATAATTCAGTGGGGTATTTGGAAATAAGCTTCTGTCAGGGATTCCTAAACAAATAGTTCAGATCTTCTGTTATGAATCATTATTATCTTACCTGCTTTAGATATTCTTTTGAAATATCTCGGGTTGGGGAAATATTTTAATTCTAGGTTTAGTTCTATTAGTTTATTTGAGTCACCATGAATAACAAAATACAAATTTATGCCATCGTTAAAAACCAGACCAAATTGACAAGCTAACACCTAGTCTTAAAAAGACCATATTAGTATTCTCCTTTATTTATAAAGCACTTTAAAACAACCACAGTCACAACAAAGTGCTTTACATGTAAAATCAAGAACATTTAAATGCATAAAACAAAAAATAAACAGTTAAAACAAGAAGCTCCGTAATACCATACTTTCCAGACTATAAGTTGCTCCGGAGTATCAGTCAACAAATGCGTCATGAAGAGGAAAAAAAAAACCCAGTGACACCGGACTATGTCACATTTAGAAATCTGTTTCACAACATTTAAAGGGGCAATATCATGTAAAATCAACTTTTTTGAGTTTTACATCATGTTATAATGTTATACTCTCATAAAAACATGCCCAAAGCCTTGCTTTGACTCATTCATGCATGTTTGAGAAATCCTGCAGCGTTTTTAGGAAGCCATGCTGARGAGCAAAAYGACAGGTGGGGACCAGAAACGCCTTTTGGTACTAGAAATGCCCCTGGGGCGTGTCTTTAAGCCAAACTTCCTCATGGCAGGGCACCCCCCCTCCACACACACACGCACACACACACACACACACACACACACA